CTTCTTCTTCTTCTTCTTCTTCTTCTTCTTCTTCTTCTTCTTCTTCTCCTTCTTCTTCTCCTCCTCCTCCTCCTCCTCCTCCTCCTCCTCCTCCTCCTCCTCCTCCTCCTCCTCCTCCTTCTCCTCCTTCTTTGTCTGGGAGTTCTCTCCCTCACCTCCCTCTTCCCCGTCCAAATCTTGCCCTCTTCTCCACACAGTAGCATATTTAAGAGCCAGGAGTTTAGGAATCAGGCTTGGCATGCTTTCTTTGCCCCCCCCCCCCCCCTCCAACGCTCCACGTCAAGCAATTCTGTCTTTTCGAGGGAATGTGGAGTCGATACAGCATGGGCTCCTTGTCAAAACTTCCTCTTTCTGCAGAATAAACACGCTCGGTTTAATCAATTCCCCACCGCAGGACAGATATTCTTGGGGCAAAGCCTGGAAAGTTAGCAGAATCGCAGAGTTGGAAGGGACCCTGAAGGCCTTCTAGTCCAACCCCCCTGCCCAAGCAGGAAACCCTGTAACCCTTCAGACGATCCAAGTGGCTGTCCGGTCTCTTCTTAAAAACCTCCAGTGTTGAAGCACCCACAACTTCTTGACGCAAGTTGTTCCGCTGATGAATTATCAGGAAATTCCTCCTTCGTTCTGGGTTGCTTCTCTCCTTGAGTACTTTCCATCTGTTGCTTCTTGTCCTGCCTCTCAGGGGCTTTGGAGAATAGCGTGACCCCCCCTCCTCTTCTCTGTGGCAGCCCCTCAAAATTAGATTAGATTACGTTCACAGACTTGGAAGGGACCTTGTAAGGTCATCTAATCCAACCCGTTGCCCAAGCAGAAGACTCTTAACTACGCCATTTCTGATAAATGGTATTCCAATCTCTTGCGCCAGTATTGAACACTGCTGTCTTCTGGAAACCAGACCCAGAATCTTCCTGAATTATATATCTTCGTTTGGGGTTTTTTTTTTTTTAAGAAAATCTGGCCTGTCTTGTTGAGAGCTTCAGATTGTATCGCCCGCTTTTAGCCGTTTCCATCTATTGACGTGTTAACCGTGTTAAGACTCGAAACCTATTCTCCAAAGCACCAGGAGGCAGGACAAGAAGCAATAAATGGATGGAAACTAATCAGGGAGAGAAGCAACTTAGAACCAAGGAGGAATTTCCTGATAGTTAGAACAATTAACCAGTGGAACAACTTGCATCCAGAAGCTGTGAATGCTCCAACACTGGAAGTTCTCGAAAAGATGTTGGATAACCATTTGTCTGAAGCGGTGTAGGGCTTCCTGCCTAGGCAGGGGGTTGGACTAGAAGACCTCCAAGGCCCCCTTCCAACTCTGTTACTCTATTCTATTCTACCTCAGATTAAAGACAGTGAGTGGAAGCTCCCTTTGAGGGCAGAGTAGTGGAGATACCAAGTCAGCATTTGCTCTGGAGAGGAACGGGAGTGAATTGGTTCAGCTTGGGGAGGCTAATGAAAGCTTCTCAGTGTTTCGCCATCAATGTGGTTTCAGTCTGGAATCGCTGCCAGTGGAAAGGACCACCAACCCCCCCCCCCTGTTAAACAGAACGGTGATGTGGGCTACAAAAATGTGCGGGCATGTGGAAAAAAAGGGGATTCGGTCAAGATCAGCCGGTAAACCACAAGAGTTAAGTAAACCTGGGCGTTTCCTATCAAAGCCGCAAGATCATTTAGCAGCAGTAATAAGAAATGCATGTGTGTACGGAGGAGTATCTAAAGAAATGTTTAGCTGCCTTTTTTTTTCTTCGGATTTGGCTGGGCAAAAAGCGCACGCACCGTTTCCAGACGTGCTGCAGAATCAAGAGCCAAGAGGTCATTTCTCTCTACAGCCGAACGATTGCAACCTCGCTCTCCATCTTGCAGCCAAGGAAGAGAGCGAGTCAACCTATTTTCCAAAGCACCTGAAGGCAGGAGGAGCAGCCATGGGTGGGAACTCATCAAAGAGAGAAGCAAGCTAGAAGGAAGGAGATATTTCCTATCAGTGGGAACAATCAACCAGGGGAACAAATTGCTTCCAGAAGTTGTGGGATGCTTTTAAGAAGAGACTGGACAGCCGCTTGTCTGAGATGGTGCAGGGTTTCCTGCCTAAGCAGGGGGTTGGACTAGAAGACCTCCGAGGTCCCTTCCAACTCTGTTACTCCGTTATTCTTGCACCTTTAGCGACAAGCTTCGAGGGTGAGGCGGGGTGAAAATGTGGGTGTTCCTTCTCCTTCCCTTTTCCCTTTGTATGGATTGTTTGCCCGCTGCATTCCCAAGCCATGCCATTGTGTGGCACCCACCCACTCGGTTCGAGAGAACACAGGCACTAATTATGAACGGCTTAAAAAGAAGCGATGCCAGCCGGGATCCAAAAGAGCTGCTCCTTTCATCCCTTTGTAAGAAGAAGGCACCGTTCCAGTTTGGCAGGAGCCCAGTGCCCAACCAAGGCAAAATAATAATAATAATAATAATAATAATAATAATAATAATAATAATAATAATAATAATAATAATAATAGTAATTAACAATAACAATAACAATAACAATAATAACCAACCACTCAACAGTACAGAAGATTTTCTCAGGGCAAGAAGAGCTTTGGAGTGAGAGACAATCTTACTGATGCAAAAACAGACGGAGAGTAGAGGGGAAAACATCTCTCGAAATAGAGAAACTTGCCGAAGAATTAAAATCATGGTGATAAAGGCACAACAGGGTTCAAGTAGAGGAAGAAAACAAAATGGATGTTCATTAGCTAAATAATGGGCTTTATTTGCTACTTGAGATTTTTACCTCCTTTGAGGCTATAAATATAGAACCAAAATTGGTTGTATTAAACATCACTTAGGAACATTTTATTGGTAGGAAATCACGTTCATCTCAAAATGGATTTTATAGGCTTTTTATTTTGGCTTTAATTCCAAGCGCTCGGTTATAAGCCAGATATTTTCCAAAGCGATGTGTGACAGTTAGTCCTCAGCTTACAACAGTTTGTTTAAGCCAATGTTCAAAGTTAGAGCAGCACTGAAAGAGGTGACTTACGACCATTTCTCGCTCTTACAACCAGGGCAGCCTGCCCGTGGTCACGCGATCAAAACTCACATGACCTCGGAGGAAAAACTCACCTGAACAACTGTCTCGTTTGGCAGCAGAAATTTTGGGCTCCATTGTGGCCTTAAGTCGAGGGACTACCTGTATTTTCTTCTCCAGGTGCATTTAAAAAAAAAAGCATCCTAGCATTAAATATGAATGGTTCTCACACATTTGTCTTATTTTGCTCTGGTCTTGACACTCTATATTGTATAGGGTCTCCTGCTTGATCAGGGGTTGGACTAGAAGACCTCCAAGGCCCCTTCCAATTCTGTTATTCAGTGTTTTGTGTCTGTGTTGGTTGGTTGGTTGGTCGGCTGCTTGGCAGACTTAAGAGGTGTTTTGTTCAATATTTTGACATTTCTGTCCCCGTAAAAGATGACAGCTACCATATGGCTGCTGTTTTGTTCACTTTGGTCTTTGCTTTGATCGAGAGAGTTTGATGCGGTAAAACCACACAGGAGTCCCTTCGACAACCCATCCTTTGCTTAAACGGGTCCTTCCCGAGGCAAAGAGTGAAATGGGAAAAAAAAAATGCCATAAGGGCGTTCTCTCTGGATGGAAACTTTTAAGACAGAAATTGTGGCTTTTAAAATAAGTTGCAGGTTGTTCCTTGCGCAACAGAAATTATTTTTCAAGTTGGGCAGAAATATATTAATGGTTGAAAAAAAAGAAAGACCATCTATTCCTATCAAAACGTTTATTTCCCCGTCAACGAGGAGGGGAGGGGAGAATAGGGGAGGGGAAGAGGGGAGGAGAGGGAGAATTTGAGGTTTTGTGAATTTGCTGAGGTTTCCAGGATGTTCCTAATAATACCGAATAGCGAGAGCGTCAGTGTGAGCTGTTTTAGCAGCTGTAGTTTCAATCTGTTCGGGGTTTTTTGCACCCTCTGCCACCTTCCTTTTCAACAACAGCTGCTGCCTCTAGAATTGGATACTGGTTCTTTCATTCCCGAAGGGTTCAAGCTCAGATTATGTTTCACTGGGAACAATGTAGGTTGAGAGACAAATGTTTAACACACCCTGGCCTGACAGCAGTTCTTTAGGACATATGTTGTAATCCGATGGACTATATGTGATGGTTTCTATGATGTTAGTTCCAAGCTTTATCAACTCTATGAAGTTCACTAAATGCCATCTCATCTTTTTCTTTAATTTTAGGGATTTATCTCTTGGACTTAATCTACATAGACTCAGCCTATCCAGCTTCCGGCAGCATCATGGAGAACGAACAAAGGTCCAATCAAATGAACAACATCCTCCGAATAATTGCTGATTTGCAAGTCTCTTGTAGCTACGGTTGGTCAATTTGCTTCCTCATCCGTGTTAACCAGCTCAGTAAATTAGTATCAGATGTCTCCCTTCTGTGAAAGCTGCCCTTGAGGTTTAAACTTCTGGGCTGCTAAGTCATTTGGTTTCCACCATCTTGTATATATTATTAGTTCTAGACAATTAGATTTTATTGTCTCGGTGACTAGGCTTTGCAGATGTGTGTATGTGGGTCAGTGGTGAAGGGAATGTGTTTTCCTTCTCAATTTATGGATAAATTCCATTGCAGATATTGGTCAAAACTTTATCAACTACATTAAGTAGGTTATAACTTGATCGACTATATAAACTAGGTTGTAACTTTATCCGCTCCATCAGTTGTGCAGCCCTTTGGTTTAGCTTCCGTTCTGATTTTAGGAGACCCTTGTTCATTTCCGCCCCGTGTTATACGCTCACCTAAGCTGTGAGTTATTTTTACTTTCCCAAAATGAGGTGTTTGAATTTCCACTTAATAGCAACAGTGCTTAGACTTCGCGGTGCTTTTACAGCCCCCTCTAAGTGGTGTACAGAGTCATCGTCTTGCCCCGAGCAAGCTGGTTTTACCACCCTCAGAAGGATGGAAAGCTGAGTCAACCTTGAACCAGTCAGGCTCGAACTGCTTGCAGTTGGCAGAATTAGCCTGCAGTACTGCATTCTAACCACTGTGCCACCGTGGCAGTAGAGTAGAGTAAAATAGGGCAGGATAGAGTACAGTAGAACAGAATTAGAATTAGGAATGGAAGACTAGAATAGAGTAGAATAGAATAGAAATATAGAAGTAGACTTTACAGCCCTCTCAAAGCAGTTTACGGAGTCAGCATATCTGGGTAGTTGTAGTCTTAAGTCAAGGACTACATTTACTGTATGCTGGTCAGTGAAATTCTTACTCTTGATGGAGAATTTTGGGCTGTCATTCAGAATAGATGGTGGGGAGTGGTGGAGCTTCATTCTGTTTCTGCCAAAAACTCTTTTTCTTCATAACAGTTTTGAGATTGAAAAACTTTTTTTTTTAATTTTTGGGCCCTGCAGATCACCTTCTAATGTTACCCCACGTGCAAAAATACTTGAAGTCCGTACGGTATATTGAAGAGCTTCAAAAATTTGTGGAAGACGACAACTACAAGTAAGTAACAAAAATTGCTTCACTTCCACTGACTCCACGGGCAGAGGGTGTGGGGAAATATAGTCTAGCCATCTACTTGGAGGGTAGGGGGAAAACACTTTAAAATGTTTTCTCTTGCAAGACAATTAAAAGATAGATAGATAGATAGATAGATAGATAGATATGGATGGATGTGTGTGTAGGTGGATCTATATAGATATAGACAGGGTGGGCTTTTTAGCAAGGGGCTCTGTCCCCTAATGACTGGCTGGGTGGTCCTGTGACTGGGTGGGTGTAGCCAACTCAATGTCGTTTCTTTGCCCTAATTACCTAAAAAAAGATAACATACCCAAAAGTCGTTTTGTGCATTTAAGAGTTAAATAAGATACTGGGTGAAACCAGGCTTAATAGCAGTGACTGTGAGAGGGACCCTGGGGTCTTAGTGGAGTTCCTGGTGAGTTACGTGATTCTTCGGAATAAGTTTGGGGTTTGTTTTGGGGGAGGTTTTTCTTTTGGCATCAGATTAAACCCAGGCCTTCAACAATGAGGCTTTTGATTCCAGAATCCCGTGCAGGGTATCTTGCTTTCGTCTTAGAAAACTGAGCCTTCAAACTGAGGCTTTAAAATGGGGGGGGTTTGAACCGGCGTGCTCGTGGCAGGAAGTACGTGTGTCTGAACCGTGAGTGAATTCTTGTTTCCTCCCCCCCCCCTCCGCCCCCATCTGTTGTATAGATTGCTGGGTTAAAGGAATCTGGGGTTTTATATTCCCAAAAAACAGATTGCAGACATCCAGAGATTTAAAGTCACTTGGAACCCGGTCTGGATTATTGGTCCAAATGACACGCTGTATTTAACAAATGAAGGCCGTGTTCGCACATCCAATGGACTACAGACAGCCCTCGACTTAGAGTGGCTGAGCAACCAGTCATAACTCAAGGACAATCTGTAAAGCACTGTTGCGTTCTTGCACAGGACACCTTCCATAAACACACAGATATCTCTGTCCTTACACTCGCTGTAAGGTGCTCAGAGTCACCTTGAACCAGGAGCTGGGTGGCAAATGAGACAGGTAGGTAGGTAGCTGGTAGATAATATAGATGATAGATATGTAAGTAGGTAGATGATGGATAATATGAATAATAGATGATAGATGGATGGGTGGGTAGGTAGGTAGGTAAATAATATAGATAATAGGTGGGTGGATGGATGGATAGATAGATAGATAGATAGATAGATAGATAGATAGATAGATAGATAGATAGATAGATAGATAGATGGAGAGAGGTGGATAGAGATAGATATAGAGAAAGAAAATAGAGAGATAGAATAGAGAGAGAAAGATATGATAGAGAGATAGATGATAGTTGGATGATAGATACATAGAGGGAGGAGAGAGAGATGATTGATTGAGAAACAGGCAGACACACATAAACACACACTCACACACACAAAGAGAATACTTAACTATGAGATGCAAAATAGATAGCATTCGTTTTGCTTTCTCCTTTTGTCTCCTGTTCTCCTTCTTGAGGCATACTTTTCATTTTTCTAGTTCTTTTTTTTCTTTAACTAATCTAACTTCTCATTTGTTTGTTTGTTTGTTTGTTTGAGATTGTCGGTCTATCTTTTAAAGCCAGAAGTTTGGCACAACTTTTCTGTAGGGCCTTGCCTTGCCGTGCCAGTTGAAACAGCGGTTGTGTTGGCTTGCCATGCGATGGCGGGTGGCGGGAGGGATCTCTTAACCCGTTGCCAATTTTGCAGGTTTGTTGTGATGAAGCTTCCGTAAGCCTTGGAAAACTTCTTCAGGCAGTAGTGACATGTGTACCACTGTGAGTCTGTGGGCTTTTTGGTGTGTGTTGAGCTCTCTCGGTTGGATGCCAGAAGCCACATTGTTTAATTTAATTCTTGGACCGAGTTCCACATTCATGCGCGATGTTAAAATTACATATACAGTAGTTTTTCTTTCTTTTTTTCCTTCATTAGCTTGGATATTGTGCGTGGAACATAGCATACCAAAAAGGGTTCTCTAAATATTTAGGGCCATGACATAATTTTTGGAAATGAGACAGAACATGAGTAATTGCTCTTTTCTCTCTCTCTCTCTCTCTCTCTCTCCCTCCCTCCCTCCCTCTCTCACTCACTCACTCACACACACATTTTAAACCCCATGGAGGCAATTGCTAGCAACAGTGACCTCTGTTTACATGTATTTTCCTAGAGGTCCATCTAGCAGGTTTCTTCCTTTTGGTCTGAAAATCCATGATTAAATGTGCTGATTTCTCTCATTTTTCATTTTTTAAAGCAAGATAGGAAGACGTACATACCAGCTCTTGGGAAGGACACGAAGAAGATTTACAAAAAGAAAGGGGGAGGGGAGAAGAAAGGAATAAGAAAGACGGAAGATCACGTGTCTTGTTTTAACGACAGGTAGCTCTCAACTTAGGACCACTAGAATCGGGGGCGGAATTTATGCCGCCAAGCGAGACATTTGTTAAGCGGATGTCTTTGCTTCGTTTTACGACTTTCCTTGCCACATGGGTTAAGTCAGATGTTGGCAACCCGTGGCTCTGGAGCTGCATGCGGCTCTTTGGGCCCTCTGCTGCGGCTCCCTATTGGGTGTTGAGGGAATTATTTGCTTAGCAGAGTGATGGCGTTCGGGGAAAAAAACTGTCCTTGTGTCTAGATGTTCTGGTGTGCAGGGCTCTATAGCGTCATTTTGAGGGTGGGAGTTGAAACACTTTATGTCCAGGATGTGAGGGGTCTGTAGATATTTCCACAGCCCTCTTTTTGACTCGTGCAGGATACAGGTCCTCCATGGAAGGCAAGTGGGTAGCCATTGTTTTTTCTGCAGTCTTAATTACTCCCTGAAGTCTGTGTCTGTCCTGTCGGGTTGCAGAGCCGAACCAGACCGTTATAGAGGTGCAGATGACAGATTCAGTCACTCCTCTGTATAGAACTGGATCAGCAGCTCCTCGGCCAGTTTGAGCTTTCTGAGTTGGTGAAGGAAGAACATCCTTTGTTGTGCTTGTAGAGCTGGAAGGGACCTTGGAGGTCTTCTAGTCCAACCCACCGCCCAAGCAGGAGACCCTAAACCACTTCAGACAAGTGACTGTCCTGTCTCTCCTTAAAATCCTCCGTCGACGAAGCACCCGCAACTTCTGACGGCAACCTGTTCGGCTGGTTAATTGTCCTCCCTGTTAGAAAGTTTCTCCTGAATTCCAGGTCGCTTCTCTCCTCGGTGGGTTTCCATCCTTTTGCTTCTTGGCTTCCTCCTCGTCTCCAGTGTTGTGCCAGACAAACGCCCTGTTGAGATATATATGCAGACGAAGCTTCCACAAGAGGGTTTTGTGGTTTATCCTTATTCTCAGGAATCTGGCTGCTTTCTAAGGCTCCCCTTATATCCTAGAGGAGCTACTGTCTCTGTTTCCACCTGAACTGCCCCTGGAACATCTGCAGAACCAATCACCCAGCCCTGCCTATGTAAGCATTGCTTCTTCTTTTTTTCTTTCTTTTTTTCCCTTTTTGCAATCCTGCTGATGTTGGAGCAACCACGTCTTTCTTTCCGTGGCTCTCATCTTCCGATTCCCAGTTGTTGTTTTTCTTTCTTCCCAAGACTCCTTTCCCAAACTTAACAGCTTCTCTTTGGCCAAGGCTTCTCTCCGCCTCCTTATAGGCCGTTTTCTCAGCAGTCTAGCTCCGTCTCCGGTTTCCCAGAAGCAGAAGTCATGATTATTTCCCCAAAAAACATGTTTTTCTTATAAATTGTAGCTTTCTTGGTGTCTTCAAGATAACCCAGATGGTTTTTTTTGTCTAAGACAGGACTAGAACTCCCCATCGCCTGGTGATTGGCCCAGAGTCACCCAGCCGGCTTTCGTGCCTAAGGTGGGACTAGAACTCACCATCGCCTGGTGATTGGCCCAGAGTCACTTAGTTGGCTTTTATTGCTAAGGCGGGGTTAGAACTCCCTGTCTTCTGGTGATGGGCTCAAAGTCACCCAGCTGTCTTTTGTGCCTAAGGCAGAACTAGAACTCCCAGTCTCCTGGTGATTAGCGCCAAATACACCCAGCCACCTTTCATGAATGCCTAAGACGGGACTAGAACTCACCGTCTCCAGGTTTCTAGCCTAATGCCTTAACCATTAGACATTGAAATAAGCAGGCAGTTTTCTGGTCATCTCAGTTGTGCGTAGAAGAGATGAAGAATGTATTTATGACGGTCGCCGTGTTCCCTCGGGGTCCCGAGGTCCCCTTTTGCGACACTCCGGCAAGCCAAGTCAATGGGGAAGCCAGATTCACTTAACAACCTTGCGACTCACTTAACAAATGCAGTGACTTGCTTAACAACGGTGTCAAGAAAGTTCGTCGAATGGGACAACGGAACCACTTGTCTTGCTTAGCCATGGAAATTTGAGGTTCCGTTGTGGTCCTAAAACGAGTGAGGAAGACCAGAACGTGAGGATCAATGACAGGCTGATAACAGTGCCAAGCAGCTCTTAGACTCCATGGAAACGTTGTGGAATTAATTTCAGGCTGCCAAAATAAAAAATGCCCCTTTCCCACCGGGAAGACTGCTTCACGTCAAGCATTAATTCCATTTGAAAGGAGTGTTTTCCTCGTACGTGTGTGAGTCACGCCATGCAATTTTTATTTGGTTTGACGTTCCTACTTGAGCGTGTATTTTTCCTCTTATAGTTTAAAAGCATTCAGTTTGAAAAGGAATTGCTAAAAGAAAGTCAGTCATGGGAGGTGTTTTTTTAAAAAAAACCCACTGATTTTTCTCTATCTTCTCTCTTTCCTCTCTCTATCTCTTCATCCTCTCTCCCTCTCTCTCTTTCTTCCTCTTTTCTGTCTCTTTTTCTCTTTTCTCTCTTTCTCTTTTCTTTCTTTCTCTCCTTGTCATCTTCTCTCTCTCTTTCCCTCTTCTCTCTCTTTTCTTTCTCTCTCTTTCTCTTCCCTCTTCTCTCTCATTCTCTCTTTTTCTCTCTCTCTTCTTTCTTTCTCTCTCTCTTTCTGTTCCTTTTCTGCCTCCCTCTTTTTCTCTCTTCTCTCTTTTCTTTCTCTCTCTTGCCTTCCCTGAGAGGAATGATAAGAATTTATCAGTCCAAACCTCAGCAAATGTGATGTGCTTTATTTAAAGCAAACATCACAGAGAAAGTATGTGCCAGGAGCTGATGTGCCACCCTGCTTCGTCAAGGCAGCTGTCTGGAACAATATTCTATTTTCCTAGCTCTCCCAAGCTCAAGTGAGACAAGCCAAATCAAAAATCAGCTTCCTCCATAGGATATTTATTTTTAAATAGCCAGTTAAACCATTCGGGTGTAAAATGTGTCCTAAAGCTTTCAAGTTCCGTCGGATTTTCTCTTTACGGATCTAAACTTTGGCAGCGCAGTTGCCAAAATGGGACGCAATCAAATATGTGGAACCAAAATTCAAACAAGATGAACATTTTTCCCCCAGTTAGCTGGTCTTTCCCCCCACTCCACCCCCAGAAAATGTTACAGCAGAAATCAAAACGGACGTCTGGCATAATCCAAAGCTTCTTGTGGCTTCTACCCCAGCCAACATTTGAGCGATTGTGTGCTATGAGTATTTTTTTTAAAAAAAGGAAAAAGGCAATTGTGTGTAAATTCCTGAAATTTCAGATCGCACCTTGAAACAGCCCAGAGCTCCAAGAATGTGTTCCCATTAAGAGGCCAGACAGCCAATCTGCAAAATCTTTCCATGAAGAAAAAAAAACACCATATATTTTGGGGGATAAATAGAGTCTGGAGCTATAGAAAATATTCCAAAACCAAGTGAGGTTAAAAGAGGACTGCGTATAGCAATCGACCAACAATCACTGGCGTTAGGGAGAAATTTATCCTTTGAGATTGTGGATTAAAAACATTAATGTGAGCCAGCGTAAAGACCCTACACTGGGTGCCTCAAACAGATTGGGAAAAGGTTAAAAAACATCTTTGTGTGTGTGTGTGTGTGTGTGTGTGTTTGTGAGAGAGAGAGAGAGAGAAGAGAGAAACTTACGAAGAGCCAGAAAGTGAGAAAGAGAAGAGAGAGAGAGAGAGAAAGAGAGAGAGAGAGAGAGAGAGAGAAAGAGAAGAGAGAAAGTGAGAAAGTGAGAAAGAAAAGAAAGTGAGAAAGAGAGAGACAGTGAGAGACAGTGAGAAAGAGAGTGAAAGAGAGAGAGAGAGAGCTATTTAATGTTGCATGCCACCCAGAGTCACTTAGAAGTAAGATAGTTCAGCAAACAAATCTAATAAGTGCAAAGAGACTGCCTGCATTTTGGATTTGGAAATTGATGATTTGTGCATTTAAAATGCTGAGACTGACCAGACCAAGAACAGTGTGACTTTCTGCTTGTTAAATGGCCTTGTAAAAAGCCACATTCATAAAAGACAAGAGCTCTGCGATAGTGAGAAAACTCTGTTTAGCTTCACAGGGTAAAACTGTCATAACTTCAGCAAGAATCTAATGTACCCAAAGAATTCACGAACACAACCTTTAACTGATAACGCGAGAGAACAGATCTGTCCCTGCTTAGCTGCTGACTTTTCACCCCGTCTTTTTCTGTTTTTGTTTTTTTTCTAGATTATCCCTAAGAATCGAACCAGGAAACAGTTCCCCACGGCTGGTCTCGTCAAAAGAAGACCTGGCAGGTAAATTTCCAAAGTTTGCCCTGTTCCGATGCTCAGTTTCCACAAACAAATATTCTTCCTTCCTTGAGGTTTTGTGTTTTGCAATCACCATCCTGGTTTCTTTCTACCAAACCATTCCTGGTGGGATGTTGGCTTGGCCTCGTGGATGGATGGATAGATAAGAGATGGGTGGGTGGATTCCACAGGTGTTTAGAAAACTGCAGATGAGAGAGAGGGGCGGGGGGAGAGAGGGAGAGGGATGGATGGATTCATATATTCTGAAAGGAAACAGGTTCCCTGTTTAAATATGTTTAAAATTGTATTCTTTAATGAAGAACAAGACCTTCCAAATCAGCTTATCCACAGTTAGAAAAACAGACGTTCTGCTTATCGTCTTTTAAAATGACGCAACAGGAAAAGGGGATAAGAAAAGAGAGGAAAACCCAGCGAAGCTTAAACACCACTCTTTGAAAACTCCGGACAACTCTCTCTCTCTCTCTCTCTCTCACCAGAATCAGTTTTAGGTCTGGGTCGGAAAAACTAGCTTTCTTCTGTCCCCATATTCTGCAGGTTTGCTCATCAGCCAGTGCTCTTACTCTAGCCTTCGCATAAATTATCCAAATTGCTGTTTCCATTGCGTAGCCATGCCATATCCTGCTTCTGTACGTGCGGCGAAACCAAAACATTAGCATGCTCTGAGTTCCTGATTTTGTTGTCCTTCGGTAGCGTAACGTGAAACGCGAGGAATATGGTGCAAATCTGTCTCTAAAGCAGACTAAACAAATCAGAAACACGCAAAGCGATACGGTAGCCCCGATTCTGGAGGTTCAGGGTTGCTGTTTTTTGCCACGTTGACAGAAAACGAGTTATCTTCAAAGGCTGGTTCGATATACGGGAAAGGATTCCGCGGGATGCTTTAAAAGGCCGTTTATATGAGTTGCTCGAAATTCCTTTGCAAATGCTGATCTTAGGAATCACTTCTTACATTGCTATGCTGGGTTTTTGCTTTCCCCCCCATACTTCTCCCCCACCCCCCATATTGCTAGAGCCATTCCCAGACTGTAATTACTTCAAAGCAAGAATCCCCCATGCTCTGTAACTTCCCAATTCTTTTTTTTTATTTATGTTTTTATTTATTTGTTTATTTCTAGACAAATAAGGCAGCAAGCCTTCCTCTTCCTATTTTCCCGACAACAAACTCTAAATAGGATCCGACTGGAAAGTACCATGTTTCCCCCCAAATAAGACCCTGTCTTAATTTTTTTCTCCACCAAAAAAAGACACCAGGTGTTATTTTCGGGGGATGTCTCATGCACTGACTAACCTCACTTGCGTGCGTCACTCCTGGTCTCCTTTTCACTGTCAGAGGCCTTCAGGAACGACTACTTCTGCGGCCGGCAAGGCTTTCTTGAAAGCTTCTGCAGCCGATAATAGAGCTCTGGATCGATCCAGAGCTTTGTTATCAGTTCCAGAGGACTTCAGGAAAGCCTTGCCAACCTTGCCAGCTGTAGAAGAAATTGACTGGCAAGGCGGGTGTCGGGATGTGCGAGGCCTGGCTACAACTGTCCAAAGGTAAGTAGTAGGGCAGCTCCACACACCCCCATCCTCACCTTAGCTTAAATTTTAACCATGCACTCTGGAGTGGGCGGATCTTAAGTAGGGCTTATATTGGGCGCACGTGTAAAAACCAAGCTAGGACTTACTTTCAGGGTAGGTTGTATTTTCGGGAAAACAGGGTATCTCAAAGTACTCAATGCCTTTGGGAGGTCTGGTGGCAACTGTTTCTTTGACCTCCTTTGCAGTTTCTTTGCCATGTTGGAGAAAACCTGTTTGTTAGCAAGCTCTCCGTAAATCAGTCTAGGAATAGCGGTAATTTTTTTTTTGCAAGCAACATAATTTTATTAATAAATGGCTGAGATTTTGTTTTGCAGACTAACTCTCGGTAGAAGCCCGATACCTTGGGAGTCATTTAGAGCCCCAGAAGTTTGAAGGCCAGGGAAGACCATATATGTGGTCCTTATTTAAACTATTTTGTCCCGTTCACATTTTTCCATTCGGTTGCCTGGGACGAAGGAAGCCACCTGGGCTCGTTCTCAGAAATGGCCAGGATGAGTTCTCTTAGCCAGCAGACGGTTGTTTGGGAACACATATTTCAATCGTGCTCTTCCCCCGCTCCCCCGCCCCCACCCCCGGGGAAAAAAAAAATTCACATTTCACATAATTTAAACCAGAGCAGAAATTGTATGAGATCTTATCCCCTGGAAGCTTTTTTCAAATGTCGAGGAGGGCGAAAGACACGGTCTCGCAGCACACTTGACTTAAATTTCAGCTTGGCATCCCTGCAGGAACCGAAACGATGCGGCTTGTTATCGGCGCATCAAGTGTAATTCTTGTTGATGTTTGGAAAAGAGGCAAAAACAAGCAGTGAACATTCAGCTTAAAGAAGTCATCTCAGGTCTTGTGAACGGAATTCTTGGTACAGGATTTGAAACCCTACAGAATACATCAGCTGGTTTCCCACGTCTGGTGGATCGCAAAATGATCAAACCAGCCCTTCGGTGCCCGTCTCTTGGCGCTTAAAACAATTTTCACTTGTGCTAGCTTCGTTTAGTGCATCGTCCTCATTCTTCTCCTCTTCCTCCTTCATCAGTACTATAAAGGAGTTTTGTGGAGAAGAGGAGGAGGAGGAGGAGGAAGAGAACTGATGGGTCCTTGGTGCTCTTTGAACTTGGTTGTTTCCTTGCAATATTGTCAGTGCTGGAGAGGAGTGCTAGAATGGAGGAAGGAGAAGAGGAGGAGGAAGAGGAGGACATCAAATGTATCTGGATATTATTAGCCTTTGCATCAGTTTTGCAGTCCATGAATAATCGTAAGTTTCCAATAAGAATAAGTGCTCTGTCACTGGAGGCTTTTAACAAGAAATGGGGGCAACCATTTGTCCAGAATGGCGTCACATCTTCTGCTTGAGCTAGAGGTTGGACTAGAAGACCTCTAAGGTCCCTTCCAACTCAGTTATTCTGTACCCTGTTTGTCAGAAATGGTGTAGGGTCTCCCGCTTGGGCGGCAGGGTCGGACTAGATGACCTATAAGGTCCCTTCCAGCTCTGATTATCTGTTATCTGTTACTTTTTTTCCCCCAGAGCTACAGTCATAAATAGATCCTTTTGTTTTTCCTGCTTCTCTGGGGAGAAACAGTGTGAGGCCACATCACGCTGTTCAGGCCCCCTACACAGAAGCAGAGAAAGCTCCTTTCCCGTTGTCGCTCGGTGAATGTTGACGATCAAATTTCTTCTCGTTGGAAAGTTGAGTGGTTGCAATGAGATGGACGTTGACCTAGTCAGGCTTGGTATGTCTGGTTCTGGAATTAGACCTGAAGTTCAAACTCAGAAGGGGCCGTTTTATGTTTTTTGGTTTTTTTTTGGGGGGGGGGGGAGTTGTCTCTGCTTTGTTTTTTAAGGAATAGGGAAGATTTCAAGAGAGACAACAACTCTTGGCCAGTTGGGGTATTTGCTAGACCGATGACGTCAGCTGGATGGAACTTCCTTCACTTTGGACCAAAAGGAAAGCGTCTTTTTTTCCATGTAAACAACTAGTCTGACATTTAACTATGCAGTTTACTTTAGAGGTAGCCATGGTGACTGATAAATAGCTTTGTTCTGGGATTTTGAGTTGCCAATCGTTGACTGCAGGCCAGGATTGTCTCATTCGCTCTCACCTCCTCGATAGCTTCTTCTCCGCTCATCCTCAAGTAGGCAAGGCCAGAATTCCCACAGCAAATTCTTCTCTCCTGTTCCAGGACACAATAGAATCAGGAATGGCCTTTAGTCATTCTAGTCTGAGTTTTCTAATCCTGTCCTTCACCAGTGCCAAAACCTTATATGTCGACTTATCTCTGCTCACAGATGGTTGTGAAAGGACACAGACCACAGAATCCTCCCATAAATGAGTCCGCTGTTGCCTCTCCGTCTTTTTCTAATGAACTGTTTCTTTCTGAACTAATTCTTGAACTTGGTTGTCTTTGGGTAGATGTTTCATGACTCAACTAGGTAATATCATCAGTGCTAGAAGGGAGTGGGGTTTGTGGAGAGGAGGAGGAGGACTATGAGGTCCTTGACACTCTCTGAGCTTGATGGTTTTCTTGCAGATATTTTGTGACCCAACTAGGTGACATCATCAGTGCTAGAAGGGAGTGGGGTTTACTCCCTTGGTAGTTCATTGATAGGATTTAAAGGAACTTGGAAGGCAGAACTACCCATTCAAACTAAAATAGAGCAGAGAAGTGTTGAAATTGTGGAATCCTTGGTGCGCTCCAAGTTTGCTTGTCTTGCAGACATTTCATGACCCAACTAGGTAACATCATCAGTGCTTGAAGGCAGTAGGGTTTGCTCCCTATTTATGCACAAGTGACTTGCCCTGTTAGTGTTGGTTGGAGTTCTTTGGGGTATTGTTTTCTGCTTGATCGTTGGTCTAGGATTAATCTGTTTCATTTTATTAGGGAAAACTTACTGAATTCCTACTTGTCACTCAGGAGTCCTACTAAAGAATTACATAAGTTACTCTTTGTTTAAGGCCTCTGGATGATTATTTCATGGGGAAATTATGCAAAGGAAAGTAACCAAAAAGAATCCTTGGGGATAGTAATGCTTCGTGGTCAGCTTTTTCCAAATGTTCCTGCCACAATTTTTTAAAGTGCAATGATCAGCTTTTCTGGGTTTCCCTCCAGCCCTCCAATATAAAACCCTCCGTAAGCAACGCTGTCCCTTCGGTGTACTATTTTCACGTCGACGTCAGCGTTGTCCTGAGAGTAACGTGGAGGGCTAACGAAAAGCAAACTGCCTTTTTTCCTCCCTGTGTATGAAAACGAGGATGGAAAAAGCATGCGTTCGCTGTAATAATGTCTCCTAGAAGTAGACGGAGTGGGGAAACTATTCCTGTTTGATGCACAAAGCGTTTCCCCCCCACCCCCGCTCTCTGTTCAAACGAAATGGTTCCCAGAACAATTGACATGCAATTGTTGTATGCATACAATTGACATACAATTGTGTAAAAGAATTAAAAGATGTCTGGGGGAATGGCAGGCTTGAAACCCAAGGGGCAGGGTGGAAGAACAAAAGAAAATATAATCCCCGTTGTTTATCCTAGGATGATCAAGGAGAGAGGAGGGGTGAGTGGAAAATGTTTAAGGAGTCAGGAGCCCGTTAAAAGCTCATCTTTCAGCAAAGCTACCAGCCTCATTGTCTCCAGAAGCCCCCCATGACAGTGGAAGGAAGGAATCAAAGAAGTTGAGCGTTCAATTCCACCCTCCAATCTTAGCTTGATTAGAGACTGAATCTTTGGTAACCTCGGAGAGCTTTTTGCTGTCTTCCAAGGTTGGAGAACAGTTTTATATCTGTCTTTTGCTTGGGGCGGGATCCTCGATGCTTGCACAATTGTGGCTTGTACAACCAGCCAGATATTCAGAGTGGATTTGGCATTCCCCACCACCACCGATGGAGTCCTTCTCAAAGACCTGGGATAGGCAGATGTGGGTGTTTGATAGTGTCCAAGTTCTGGTTGCAGGATGTAAGCTGTTCCAATCAAGCTGCCTTCTGCAATCGACTGATGGGGACTTTGTCAACGCCACGGTGTCCCAAGTATTATTATTATTATGGTTGGTCGGACAGTCAGCCAGATATTCAAACTGGATTTGGCATTTTTGTCTACCCATCCAAGTCCTTCCCAAGGACCTGGGAGAGGCAGATGTGAATATGTTAAAGATTTTAATCAATAAGGTGTAAGCTGTCTCAAGCAAAGCTGCTTTCTGCAATTGACCGATGAGGATTTTGTCAATGCCGATGGTGTCAATTCTTACTATTATTAATCATTTATCATTTCAATGTTTTATTGGCTTTTCATGCTTCTAAGCCACCCAGAGTCTCCTGTAGGGGAGGTAGGCAGCAAATAAGTCGGACACATAAATACATTAAATAAAGTCAAAATTAAGACCAGGCCTTTCTCCTAAGAGGAAGCAAACACCAGCAAGGACTCAAGGAGTCAAATGAGTTTTTTTGTCAGTATTTCAAGTTGGCAGATCGTCGTGCGAGCCCAGCCAAATCCCAGCATTTCACACACAGTGAGAAACATGAAGTATAATTCCGAGGAATATAGATCAAACTGCATTTCGAACTCTTGTGCCTGTATAGACAGCTGCGCCTGTTGAGTGAAAGGTTCAGCTTGTTGGTCCCCGAATAAGTTGGCTTCAGCAGAGATCATCTTTCACAGAAGATTGAAAGCAAACTCCCAACAACTCCCAAATATTTAGAATCTTCCATCTCTTCGAGCTGGACACGATTAATTTTCTAATTGCAAAGGCAATTAAGCATGCCGTTTGACAAACAAAACCGCCCTTACTCCATTGCAGTTCATTTTGTTTGCATTTTGTTTGTTTATATATATATATACAGCCTTATGGCATAAACACGAATGGATGTGAATTTGATCTTTAGCGTTGGATAATGAAACTCACGTTTAGATAATGGTGGATGAGAAACAATACCAAAAGTTTTGAATAAATAGAGGCAAGGATATACCTTTGACTAGGAGTGGTGTGGTGGCCTAGAGGCGGAGCTCTCGCCTCACAATCAGGAGGCTGTGAGTTCGATCCTGGGAAGAGGCAGGTATTTCTCTCTCTCGACACACTGAGAATGTATCTGCTGAACAAAACTCCTCATTGGTGACAGGAGGAGCATCCGGCCAGTAAGCACTCAGCTCCATTCAGTTGCCCAGACTCCACCCCCGCAAGGGATTATGGGGTCATTAAAAGACTATATATCTTTGACTCTCTTTAGAGTGGAAACTGAAGCAAATACCTTCCAAGGTGGAGACGTGTCTTCCTCATTTATGTGTTTGCATGAAGCACTGTGATTAAAAAGCATAAACCATGATCTAGATTGTAGATCTCTACGTGGCGCGTCAGTTTCTCCTTAGCCTGTTGTCTCCATAGCTTCTCTCTAAATAACAAATCATTGAAGGCAACTTATAGAAAGTTCCGCAGGAGCACTGAGATCATCCTTCTGCTAGATGATTGTAGGCTAATGCATTAGTCACCGTCTGGATCCGAAGCCCGCTTCTCTTTCCCCCTCAGGGAAATTTCCACAAAGGAATCTAAAACAATACTTAGCAAAGTGATGGCCCCATCTTACCATGGTTGTTTATTATTATTATTATTATTATTATTATTATTATTATTATTATTATTATTATTATTATTATGGAACCGAAAAAGTGCTCAGCTGTAGAAGCCAGCCAAGAGCCCAGATTTTGGGGTAGAAAAATCAAAAGCATTTTCAGGCCTTAAAACCCAGTTTTGCAAACTGGAACTTTTTAGCAGAGTGAACCTTAATAAAAGAACTGGGTTGGACTTGTGTTGGTCAAGAGGACTCAGGATTGTTGACTCAGGGGTTGGGCATTTTCCATCTGGAAGCAATTCCCAAGTTACCCAGATCTAATCCTTTGTTGATATTACACACACACACACACACACACACCAGAGCAGGAGAATTGCTTGTGATGAAACTGAGAAAGGCATAGGGGTTGCGTGTTCCAACTCATTCTTCAAAATTATATTTAATGTACTTACTAAGCTTTCGTCAGCCTCTGCTGACATCAGAATATCAAGCTACCATTACAGAGATCTTTGCCTTTATATATCATTAATCAATTTATCCCTTGCACGTGCAATAGGCCGTTGTTCTTGCTTCCATCACGTTGACCAATCGTTGGTTCCGCAACGGCCCTTAGGAAGTCAACGAAGAATGCGATAACGTTATTTTCTGTCTACGCTCCAGTGCGTGCTGGCTACAAATATTTAGCCTCTTGGCTCTGAAACCGCCTTCCAATTTCCAGAATTGTCATCTGTCTGGCTCAAATTCCTGTAAAACCTCTTCTCATTCCCCCCCCCCCCCCCCACGAGACGCTGATGCTTTGCATTTTTGACCGGCAGAGCGGTCTTGCAAATAAACTCAAAGCATATGTTTTTTGTCTGACAACGATGGTCACACCTGAAACCTTTTCCCCCCACCCTCTCTCTCCTTCTCCGGCCTTGGCATCGCATTTTTTTCATTTATTTTTTTTGTGTATTGTTGGGGTAGACTACTATTGCTATCAAAGGGATAGGTAATGCGGTTTTCAAGATTGCAGAATGTTTCAGTTAATTAAAAGGTATTAATGGAGAAGAAAAACGAAGGTGATTAGGGGACTGACTGGAGGCTAAAGCCTACAGAGAACGGTTGCTGGAATCGGGTATGTCTAGTCTGATAAAAAGAAGGACTAAGGGTGATACAACAGCAGTGTTCCAATATCTCAGGGGCTGCCCCAAAGAAGTGGGAGTCAAGCTATTCTCCAAAGCCCCTGAGAAGGCAGGACAAGAAGCAACGGGTGGAAACCAATCAAGGAGAGAAGCAACTTATAGAACTAAGGAGAAAGTTCTTGACAGGCAGGACAATTAATCAGTGGAACAACTTGCCTCCAGAAGTTGTAAATGCTCCAACACTGGAAGTTCTTAAGAAGAGATGAGATAACCATTTGTCTGAAGTGGTGTAGGGTTTCCTGCCTAGGTAGGGGGTCGGACTAGAAGACCTCCAAGGTCCCTTCCAACTCTATTTCCCGGAAGAAAGGGACGGCGCCCTTGAGCGACAGGCTTCCTGATACTTAGCGTAGCATTAATTGGTGTCTGTTTTGTAGGTCCGTCCGAAGTGTCGGCAGCTGTGAGGTTCAACAGGAGGCCCACCTGTCCTGATGCCTCGGTAGCGGCCAACATGCACACCCCACCTATACCGCGGCACAGGAAGAGCCACAGCCTTGGAAACAAGTGGGTGTTGCAGTCTGCACTGAAGCGCGCATCTTAGTTAGGGGTTTTTTTTGTTTTTGTTTTTCTTTTAAAGGCAGCCAGGAAGCCCTCCCCTTCCCTCTGCAGGTAGTCCTTGACTTACAACCCTCCGTTTTAGCGACCGTTCAAAACAGCAACGGCGCTGAAAAAAGGGATTGACTTACGACTGTTCTTCACCGGGCCTTTGTAGCGTCCCCGTGCTAGGCGCTTGGCAACTGGCTCACACATATGACCATTGCTATGCCCCTGAAATCACTGGGGGAGGCCAGATTCGCTGTAAGAACCGGCTTCCTAACTTACCCGCCCCACCGTGCCCAGCGAGGTCGTGAAATGGTGCAAACCTCACTCAACAAAGCCCTCCTTCCTCCTCCTTAGTGACAGATATGCAGAGCTGCGTTGTGGTCACAAGACAAGGACTGCTCGTAGGGATTTTGCAAGGATTCTGGTTCCTCAGTAACTTGTTCGTCTTAGGATCCCCCTTCTGTGGTCTTGGCAACCGTTGTGCGATGGCGCCACTCCTTCCCGGTTGAAAGGTGGCCGATTTACCAGAAAGAACCTTCCAATGTATCTTTTATTACCCAAGTCAAGGATGTTTCTTCCCATGTTACGGGTGCCCAACTGGCCTGAAAGAAATGAGTTAGGAATGTGTGCGTTCAGCTTAGCGTTAGAAACAGGAAGGCGCGTTGCTTTCCCAGCGTTTAACCGGTGGAACTGCTGGCCAGCAGAAGTTGTGGGAGCTCCAACCCTGGAGGTGTTTAAGAAGAGTCTGGACAGCCATTTGTCTGGAAGGGTTTAGAGCAGGGGGTCTTCAAAACTCGACAGCTTTAAGACTCGTGGGCTTCAACTCCCAGAATTCTTCCTCCTCCAGTCATGCTAGCTTGGGAATTCTGGGAGTTGAGGTCCCCAAGTCTTCAGCTTGCCAAGTTTGGAAGACCTTTGGTCTAGGTTCTCCTGTTAGGACTAGAAGACCTCTGTGGCCCCTTCCAGCTCTGTTACTCTGTTAGGTAAAGGCCGAAGTCTCCATCTCGATTGGACCGGTATCTGCTTTAAAAAAAAAAACAAGTCAATTTTGGGAGGATGGATCATTAGAACGAAGTCCTAAGAAGGAGATGACAGGCTTGTAGAACATAGAATAACGGAGTTGGAAGGGACCTTGAAGGCCATCTAATCCAACCCCCCTGCTCGAGCAGGACAGTCTATTCCAAATATTAGCCTCTACCTAGGATTGAACTCACAACCTCCTGATTGTGCGGTGAGAACTTTGCCCTAAGGACTTCCTGACCCTTAAGAACTCCCCACCCCAATAAAATCCAGGCAGGCAAAACTTTGAGCATGAACGGCTGTTACCAGATGATCTAAAGAAAATGTTTTCCTCTTTTTTCCCTCCTTCCTTCCTTCCTTCCTTCCTTCCTTTTTCTCCCCTCCCGTTTTCCCAGTATGATGTGTCAATTCAGTGTAGTAGAAAGTAAAAGCGCCACCTTCCCAACAGAGAAGCAGCGCCACCTGCTGGACGACAGCGTGTTAGAATCTCACAGCCCTGTCAGGAACCACCCGCTAAACTCGGTGTTCACCAATGGTGTTTCTCTAGGTAAGTATCCGCGTAGAAGCAGCAGCTTTGGGCGCTTCGGCCTGCCCACCTCCTCTGCCCTGGAATCCAGAGCCGCCCCCCCCCCCCCCAGGATGACCAGATGAGGGTCTTTGAGAACAGCCAACAGGCTGAGAACCGTTGTGATAAAATATAGCGGTTGAAGCTTGGAGCCGTTTCCGTTTTCGTGCTGTTAAGTGGCGCCAGTTGTGATGGCCCTTTGGTAAAACCGAGAAACGGTTGGAGAAAACGCAAGTTTCAGTCATCTCAAAAGCATTGCTCAGAAGGCAGGAAGAATACAAGAATACAATACTCTTAGTAGGAAGGAGCTCTTCCATACTCAATGGAAATAGAGAGTTGGCTGCGCGTATCTGGTTAGCAAGAGAACCAGGCTAGAAGTAGGGAACGATTTGCCTCCAGGAGTCGTGGGTGCTCCACCACTGGAGGTTTTTTACAAGAGACCGAAACAACCCTTTGTCCAGAATAGTTTACGGTCTCCTGTCTTGAGTAGGGGGTTGGACTAGAAGACCTCTGAGGTCCCATCCAGCTCTATGGTTCTGTGTTCTAGAAAGTAGAATTAGCAGGCAAGACAGTGAGGAAGCTGTTGGTTTGAGAGGTCCTTGGTGTCTTGGATGGCTTGGAGTTGGTCTACTGCAGCATGAGTTTTTTGTCAAAACTACCCGTGAAACAGGCTTAATGCACTTACCAAATGTGGAAAATGCTCTAATCATTCCATATCATCTATTCTAGTCCATCAATCCATCAACCCCAAATGATGGCCGTGCTGAGCAGTTCCCTAGCCACCACATCAGCATTTATAATTTAGCTTTCCTGAACAGGGAAAGAAGGAGTAGTTGTGTTGGCTACCGCTCAACAATGCTTCTAAGCCATGGACAGACCAACAATCTAAATTACTCCGTTTGGGAAAAGAAAAGAAAGGCCATTTCATCGTTAAAGACTCGACTTTAAATTCCCTTCCGGTGAATTTAACAGGATTGCATCGATTTGTAAAAGAAAAAAAATAAAAAAAGACCCTCATTCCATATTCAGATAATCCTCTGCTTGTTTTTCCATGACACCAAACTGTCAGTTCTTGTCTTGATGAAAGGAAAAATCCAACATCTCTTTGTTGTCTCTTTTGTCTGTGAACAAAGGTTGTTTGTTTTTTTTAATTGAAATGTACTTGCATTAAACTGTGAATTTATTTATTTTCAATAAATCTCCTTCTCCCCATGCAACATGGCAAAAATAAGGATAGCTTTAAAGCTTCCTTAAAATATTTGTACATATATACAACATGCACCAAGACAAATTCCTGGTGTGTCTAATCACACTTGGCCAATAAAAGAATTCATTCATTCAGCCATTCAACCTTTTGTGGCTTGGAATTTCGACAGCATGAAACAGAATACCAGATCTTTTGGCTTCTGTAAGGGGCATGATAGACCTGTTTTGAATTATTATTATTATTATTATTATTATTATTATTATTATTATTATTATT